CCATGCAATCACATCTCCATTCCATCCACCTCCACCTTTTTGCAATCTCTATCGCCGCTGTTCCATTCCATCCACCTCCACCTTATTGCAATCTCTATCGCTGCTGTTCCATTCCATCCACCTCCACCTTTTTGCAATCTCTATCACTGCTGTTCCATTACATCCACCTCCACCTTATTGCAATCTCTATCGCCGCTGTTCCATTCCATCCACCTCCACCTTCTTGCAATCTCTATAGCCGCTGTTCCATTCATCCTCCTCCCAGGTAAGGAAATAAAGTTATATAACCCTCATCTTTCCAAGTTAGAAAATTAAGCCAAAATGTTTTTTAAATGAATTATTCAAGTACAGACATACTCACCCGACATATAAAAACATAGTTTGTGACATTTTCAAGTGAGTTACTTGGTGGTCCAAGGCCAATGAAATGTGGATAAACAGAAACTGCACTGACGGCTTCGATGTCTGTCATATCAGACTCCCTGCGTAGAATTTGGTAGGTCAGTGGAAAGATATCTTTATCTCCAATGCATCCATCTATTTTATATTCGACCTGAGACAAAAACCAACATTTTTGAATTTTTATATATTTTTCTAGCATTTTTTTGGAATAAATGGACAATTTTTTGGGGGTACTAGTGTTGACTAACTATTTTTGAAAAAGTAATTAAGTTGACTTTGTCATTTAAGTCTATAAACTATCATGCTGGTTTTTATTTACAATGGTCCACTTGTTTTTGTCGTCATGCCTCCAACTATTTGGCTGTTTTTAAATTCACACCACTTCATTAATAATTAAAACAAAATTAAACTATCAACATTCATAAAAAATGATATACTATATAAGCTTACTTCTTCCAACTCTGTATAGTCATCAAAAATAAATCTACAAGATGTGACTCCTTGGTGAACTCTGACCTCCAGTTTGGAGAGACCAATCTGACCATCCTCAGATACTGCTATACACTGTATGAGGTAGAGGGCCCCTCTTAGCAATACACCTTTTGTTATAGAAATATTTACATTACAAATATTGATAATGTTATCTTTATTTTATTTTGCATAGCTACCCCATAATGCATTGTGTGTATTTTCCATGATGCACTGCACTCATGATGGAATGAAAGACCACTAATATATATATATATATCACATTTTAATTAACACAATATCTGGTTTATGTTTGATTATTATTAATGTTTTATGATGTCATCAGATTTGTGTTCACCTGGTAATATTGTGATATGTGTTTCATACATGAATTCATCAACAGTAGCTGCTCTGTTCAACACAGGTGGGCTTTCTATGTTGCCTTGGTGAGTCAGATTAACATAGCCATACCCTGAAAGAAACAATTACTTAATATGTAAAGGCTGATATTTAAAGCATGTCATGCACTCTTTGCCAAAATCCATTCATTTGAATATTAGCGACAAATCAAACACATTGAATCATCACAAATCAACAAATTAAAATAAAACCTATCATTGGATATTAAACTAGATACATATACGGTTACAGGTCGATATTCCAAGGGATCATTAGTCCGAGGGTTCAATAATCCCATGGTTCATTAGTCTGAGGGTTTATTTTTTTGGGGGTTCAATAGTCACAGGGTTCAATAGTCTGAGGGTTCATTAGCCTGGGGGTTCATTAAGGTTCATTGGTCACAGGGTTCATTAGCCTGGGGTTCATTAGTCCCAAGGTTCATTAGTCCCATGGTTCATTAGTCACAGGGTTCATTAGCCTGGGGGTTCATTAGTCCCAAGGTTCATTAGTCACAGGGTTCATTAGCCTGGGGGTTCATTAGTCCCAAGGTTCATTAGCTTGGGGGTTCATTAGTACGAGGGTTCATTAGTCCGAGGGTTCAATAGTCCCAGGGTTCAATTGTCCGAGGGTTCAATAGTCCCAGGGTTCAATAGTCCCAAGGTTCAATAGTCCCAGGGTTCAATAGTCCTAGGGTTCATTAGCCTGAGGGGTTCATTAGTCCGAGGGTTCAATAGTCCCAGGGTTCAATAGTCCCAGGGTTCAGTAGTCCCAGGGTTCAATAGTCTGAGGGTTCATTAGTCTGAGGGTTCAATAGTCCGAGGGTTCAATAGTCCCAGGGCTCAATAGTTCCAGGGTTCAATAGTCCCAGGGTTCATTAGCCTGGGGGTTCATTAGCCTGGGGGTTCATTAGCCTTGGGGTTCATTAGTCCGAAGGTTCAATAGTCCAAGGATTCAACAGTCCCAGGTTTCAATAGTCCCAGGGTTCAATAGTCCCAGGGTTCAATAGTACCAGGGTTCAATAGTCTGAGGATTCATTAGCCTGGGGGTTCATTAGTCCCAGGGTTCAACAGTCCTAGGGTTCAATATTCCCAGGGTTCAATAGTCCCAGGGTTCAATAGTTCCAGGGTTCAATAGTCCCAGGGTTCAATAGTCTGAGGGTTCATTAGTCCCAGGGTTCAATAGTCCCAGCGTTCAATAGTCCCAGGGTTCATTAGCCTGGGGGTTCATTAGTCTGAGGGTTCAATAGTCCCAGGGTTCAATAGTCCCAGGGTTCAATAGTCCCAGGGTTCAATAGTCCTAGGGTCCAATAGTCCCAGGGTTCAATAGTCCCAGGGTTCAATAGTTCCAGGGTTCAATAGTCCCAGGGTTCAATAGTCCCAGGGTTCAATAGTCTGAGGGTTCATTAGCCTGGGGGTTCATTAGTCCGAGGGTTCAATAGTCTCAGGGTTTAACAGTCCCAGGGTTTAACAGTCCCAGGGTTCAATAGTCCCAGGGTTCAATAGTCCCAGGGTTCATTAGTCTGAGGGTTCAATAGTCCCATAGTTCATTAGTCCCTGGGTTCAATAGTCCCAGGGTTCAATAGTCCCAGGGTTCAATAATCT